TATCAGTGACGCGTCAGTTACACGTCAGTTGAACCTTACCACTAATTATACAATTCCTCTTTCGAAGTATATTTTCTTTAAGATTTGGTATGTTTTGAAGTAAACAAGGATTGTTAACGTTCCTTACGTTAGACGTAATTATTTTTGTACATACTGTTTTCTTAGTGCAACACCCAGATAATCGTTTCTTTGATTCCAGCGGCAAAGAAACGCTATATATTGTATTCAAGGAAGCCTTCTTTCATCAAAAATTAATCCTTCCTTGGATCAAAGCAAAATCCGTGATTTACAAAAGAGTACTTTACATTTTTGTAAAAATTAAAAAATTAAGTGTATATTTGTTTTATTTTTGTTTTACAAGAAGAAAAGAATTTGTGGGTAGATTTTATGTGCGCTGTATGCGATAGGTTTGAATAGTGGGACCTTTAAAATGTAAAAAACGTATTCCCATGGAGTGCCGAGTGGAGGGAAGAAAAAAGGAGAAGGGTACCAGAGATCCCCTCAGCGGAGCAGGTGGGCCCCGGCGGATACACTGTTTGTTCTCAAGAACAAGACGTACTACAAATTGACCTCTACCAATTTTTGTGATATTTTGGTAACGTTAGCCAAGGTATGGTAGAGGTCAATTTGAACCCTATCACATGGTAGCTCGTTTGAAAGCTCTTTCCAAGAGGAAACAGAATATGTCATCCACTTTTCAAAGTTATCCATCTGAAAGGAAATAGTAGAATCGTGTGCATGCCATGCACACTAAACCTGGCGTGCGCATGCCATGCACACTGCATATGCAGAGTGCAATGCACACTGTTGAGTTATCAGTGAATCACCAAAAGATTTTCGCGCTCGCTTCGCTCGCGGTGTATTGCATAGCCTCTCTGTAGCCACGACTTTTTGCCATATGCTTCTATTTCCTAAACATAACGGTTACGCGTCAAATTTCGCGGCGGGTGCGACTGAGTGATTCTCGCTCGCCGCTTACTCTCACTCACGCCAAGGGACAGTGAAAAAAATAACTCAAGTAAAAACAAACAAATATTGTGAGATTTTTAAAGCACGGCTCCTACCTCACGTAAGCGCTTATGCGTGCTTAACTTTACACTTTCCCAGGGACGTAGTTAACGGTCGGCCGACAGAGGAGGCGGCACAGGAAATTCCCTACATTCGGGTGTTTGGTAGCATAAATTGTCTATCTTTCGGGTGGCTATACAGGGCCAACAGAACGCACGCTCTACGGGAGGGGTGGGGAGCGGAGGGCTGGGAGCGGAGCGCGGGAGCCTTTCCCCCTTTCCAAATTCAAAAATTTCCTGAAAAAACATGGTATTTTCTGCCTGACATTGAAAGAGGGCCTGCAAGCTCAAAGCTGTGCTGAGAAGGGAGTCATACCACCGCGCGCACTGTATCTTGGGCGACAAGCTAATTAGCGCACCTGGAGCTACAATCCTTGACGCTTTCACCCTAATTTCCCGACAATTTCCTGATTTTGACGTCCCGGGATCCTGACCTTTTCCTGACGCGTGGCAACTCTGCCCTTGTTCTTATCCCTTCTGCTATGGGTTTTCCACTGGAATGCCCTGTGAAAATGTGTGCTTTTAAGTTCAACAACTTTAGTAGGCATACTGTTTCTAGCCAGTTCCACCTGATGATTAGGGACGTCCGTGTGGGTGACAGGGTGACACATTGCTAATCTGTGGATTCCAGAGGTGAAGTATAAACAAAAAGCTTTGATGACGTTTCGTTCTACAGATCTATTCTATACTTTGTTGTTATTTCCTTCCGTTTGAAATGCTGAGGATATGCCATTTGCTCCTTCATTTACCATGCATTGGCTCTCCAAGAGAAGGAATTCTTGTAGTTCATCGTTACTATCAGCTGTGTGCAATTGCTGGAACCCGGTCGGGTCTAGCTCTCTGGGTTCAAGAGGATAGAGCGTCCTTCGTAAACATGAATGCATCCGCAAATCCTTTCCTACTGTAGAGACGCGTGAGCGCGGATACGTTTGGCACCGAATATGGGCTTCCAGCGGTTGAAAGTTTATATCAAGGGCATTGCAAGAGGATGAAAGAAGACGACCAGCAAAGACTATTGGTGGTGAATAGGGGCGGTCGGCTGCAGTGTCACTACCACTACTGGACGTTGGTTCGCTATTCTCCATTATAGTTGACAGAAATCTATGGTTGTAATCATCTACTTCCGTGTATTCTGCAGCCTCTTCCGGAGAGTACTCAATAGTGCAACACCCACGGTCTTCCTTTAAGTCAAGATGTTCCCACATAGGCACCTCAATTTCTTGTGCGTCAGCAACACTTGCACGCGTCTGCCTAGTGTTGCACAGCGCAATATCTTCGAAAACTTCTAAATTATGTCTATTTTCTAAAACTTTGCTACTTGTATTAGACAAATGTTCCCTTAGTTCACTGTTCAGTTGTTTTCCATCAGGTAACTTACCACAAAAATTTGCAGATGACCCGTCTAAAGCTGGTTCATCGAAACTACTAGAACACAAAATAGAGCACTCATCTACTTGCGTAGGAAGCTGATTAAGGATAAAAGGCACGTGCACAGACATGTAGGGGGACTCTTCTGAACATGAGCTTCCTGTTGACAGAAACACGGAGTCTGATCCAATAGATAGATCACCTAAAGAAGCCCAGCTCCCGGACGCCATATGACCCCCAGGTCTCCGATTTAAGCGAGACTGGTCTAGTCTGGAACGTGAGCTCATATCTAGGCTATCTACTGACATCTGATCGCTTGGTTCGGGGGACATGCTTGTAATTGACAAACACACAGGATTACGAGTGCGAGCACATTGATCCGTACCTTTAAGCGCATCCTTCAATTCCTCCATTTGCGTTACCCATTCAGGCTTCCGATACTCCTTCGTGCCCAAGATACCTGCAAACCGTTCAAAACTAAAATTAGAACAGGTTAAAAAATTAGGGGAAAGGGAGACGACCAGAGCAGACTGAACCAAGATAACTTATGTGAGGGCAACATGAAAGACTCTGATCTGAAAGTAGAAAAACACATTTGCAAGCAAACATATTACGGGGGAAAATTATGATGACCTAAAACTCTACCAGCATTGTCAATTTATACAAGTCGTGCAGCTACATTTACTGTAAAAGTACTATACTTCACAGAAATAATATATCTTTAGTGTTTGTGTATGCTCATTTTTGTGGTGAAACCTTAAAAGTGTGGCCGTTCTGTGAGCGAGTGGTAGTGAATTGAGGAAATTTTATCCGATTAAAGATACGCAGATTGCTTAAGAATTGGGATGCAAAGGGTCATAAGAAAGGGCGAAGCTGCAAAATATGCACATGTTCGCAGGTGAAGGGGAAAGGCGTCGATTAATATGAAGTGGACCTCATCGGGCACTGCTGAGCACTGTAGCAAGACCAACACATCACCATATTAGTTCAAAGTAAGGAGGTTCTTCTTTCTTTTACCATCATCGGTTGTTTGAGACATAAAACTTGATAAAATTGGTGGTCATTTTAAAGACAACCAAAAGAAATCGTTGAGACTTACCGTGAACTTCTAATTCGGTAACGGTCTGATCTACGCCAAGCTCATTTTGGACTTCACAAGATATTTCCCCGACATCGTCCGGGAATACTTCCATTATAGTAAGCACGGATGTCCCATCTTCATAGTTCTCAACTTGAAAGTCCTTGTTTGGGTGTATCTCATTGCCTTGTTTGTACCATCGCACAGAGGGTCGCGGATTTCCCCCGGCTTTCACTTCAAGCCTAAAGCAGAGATTATACAAATCCAAAAACGTTATAAAATTTAAGAAAAAACACGAAAGATTGAAAAGTCCATACCGAACCAGCTCTCCTTCTCTACTTGGCGTAGTGTGAACTAGTGGTGTTACAAAATGTGCAGCTTGCATTTCTTGATCTTCGAGTGAAGACAAGCTTTCCTAAAAATGTAATTGTCATTAGTAGAAAAAAAGTTAATGCCTGCTTTTGTGGTTTATCACTGACATTTAATAACGGGATTGTTTCAGAGGTCGGGGATCTGGATTGTTTTTCTGGATTTTTCTCACCTTTTCGAGTAAATCTTCCTCTGAAACGCTTTTCGCTGTGGCCAGGTTAGTGTCAACTGCCACGGAGGCTATTTCCGAATCAGGGACGTACTCATAAGCTGAAAACAGGACAAAGAAATTTAATAGTAATGCGAATACAGGGTGGCCCACAGACCTCCTCCTTTGTTTCTCTTATACTGAACCGCATGCAGGCGTGCGGGCGGCTTGGCTACCGTCGCTCGTGTGAGTACACAACCCATCAGCACGCGTGCATCCAGCACATCATAATAAATTAAAGGACGGGGTCTGTGGACCACTCTGTATATAGAAAAGTTGAGTCACACAGCAAAATCCAAAAGCGTCAGCATTAATGTTTGGAAATCTATGAGTACTCCGAAGATGCAGCAGCCGCACAGTAGATTGTGTGTACCTTCAACAATAAGCGATGCAGAACATACAGCTTCACCGACTCGATTCAAAGCTTCACAAGTGTATAATCCAGCGTCTTCCGGAAATACTTCCGATATCGCTAGTTTACAAAGGCCTTCCTGGTCTTGATATATAGTCACGTCTTTGGCCTCTTTTATGGGTTGGCCATTGTGTCGCCAGGTAACTCGGGGAGTTGGTTTTCCGACCACCTGACATGTGAAAGTAACCTTTTCTCCGTCCATTACTTTTACGCTTGAGACAGGTTTAACGAACTGTGGGGACATGATTTCCAGTTCAGCGGTGGTTTCCCATTGCATTTCAGGCACAACACTCAGCGTTGCCGTTGACGTCACAGAGCCAACAGCATTTTCAGCTCTACACGTGTAATCTCCAGCATGTTCCGGTAGTACTTCACGAACAACAAGCACCGACCGGTTTTCCTCCGTAACAACACGAAGCTCGGGAGAAGACTGTAAACCAGGTAAAGAAAAACGGTCCCACAATTGGCTCCAAATTGCAAACGAATAATTTAAAAAATGCAGTTAAAACGTACTTTTACTGGTACCGAATGTAAAAACCATTGGAATGAGCAGGTTGGAAACGAATCAACACGAGCCTCTAACACCACACATTCTCCTTCCGCAACTATCTGTGGTTCAAGGGGTTCAATAAATCGAGGAGCTCTAGCATCTTTTAAGTCGTCAGCGTCGTGCTCTGTAAAAATGTAAAGACATAATAAGCACATCTCGCTCAAATATGCTCTAAAGTTAATGTAGAAAAAGTTGGCTCAACATTTTTGTAACTGGTTTGCCGGTTCAAAGTTAAAATGTAAAGGATGTAAGTTTAAGCAGTACGACTAAAACGTTGAAGTTTAAAACCCCCGCCCTGGCTTTTAAAGAGATTCTCGGGTTCACAGTTTATGGCGGGTTTACGATGGATTTTCTTATGCTATGTCGTACCCTTATGTTATGTCGAAAAGTCAACTTTGCTTGTCTCTTATGGGACCGTTTACGATGCTATGTTGATCGTTATGTTATGTTGCGACATAACTCCTTGCAACATAAGTCAACTATCGAGTTGACTTATGTTCTACTTCGACATAACATAAGGGTCACGTGACGCGGGAACCAATGAGAAACGCGAGAACGCGCGCGAAGCAGTGGAAACCTAACCTACAAAGTAAATTATGGATTCGGACAATTTAAATTTGAAGCTGTCATACAAAGAATTGACAGCAAAAATCAATTTTAAATTTCTCGCAATGGTTTTAACTCCCCCAAAAATATAGTTTTATGCTTTTAGGTACATTTCACATAAGGTTCCTTGCAGACATAACGTAACCACCGTAAACACCCCCTTCAAAACCGACATAACATAAGCTCTTTCAACATAACATAAGTTCTGACATAACATAAGAAAATCCATCGTAAACCCGCCATTAAACTGCACCCCTTTTAAACAATTTCACAGTGATGATTTGCACACTTCGGTTTCCCGAATTTCACTATTAACTTGTACACCTTAATTTGAAGAGCGTTTCGAATACAATTATGTGCTTCAAGATTATCAGCGTAGTGCCCAGACAACAGTTAAATCAATGTTATGCTTGTGCCCAGCAAATTTTCTTACCTCGAACTGCCACAGAGCCCGAGGTCCTGGCTTCTCCAGCAGTGTTCATCGCACGAACCTCGTACTTTCCACTGTGTTGTTTTGTGATAGCAGGAATGCGTAGCTCTGTCCGGAAGGCCTCCGTTACTATTTCTTTGTCCTTCTCTGCTAATGGAACAATTTCTTTCCCGTTCCGATACCAGCGTACCTCCGGTTGAGGTGTTCCCTGAAACCCTGCAGCCAGCACCACTGGCTGCCCTTTCACTGCCAAAATGGCTTTAAGGGGTTCGACAATGCGTGGGGCATGGAGAATTTCGGGCTTTGAAACAGAAACCTGGAATGAATGAGCGAGTGTCATAAAATATGGTTGTTGAAAACAGGTAACCCACAGGTCAAGGATGCGAGAAAAGAAAAACTGCACAGTTTAATTTTCATGAATTTTCCTCTCTTGCATTTAAACCGGTCTCCCCATTTAAATTAGTATGAAAAAACACCTGCTTTGGAGAAGACTGAGAAGTAACGACACGTATAAATTTGTACGACATCTCTTCTTCTGAAACATAACCAGAGGCATGCCTTTTCTTTCTAAAACTGTATATATTAACGCAACAATTTAATTAATGTAGGGTAGCTGTGCAATTTATTATGTTTTGTCAAGTCAAATGTGTACATGTATACTTTAAATAAAGTGAACCTGCCATACTTTATTGTATACACGCCCATGCACGCTTTAATGAATATGCGCATGCCTATATACAGGTTGTAACTGTGAATACGCAGCAGTGTTGCGGGATTGCATACTCAGTATGGCCACAGGGACCATGGCCCTTTACGGGTGTAAAGAGTAGGCAAACCGCAACATTGCTGCTTATTCACAGTTACAGCCAGTACACTCTTGTAAATGTTTGCATGGCTATTTACGCTTTTATACATGTATGCATACCCATGTCCACTGTGCAGAGACTGCACAAGCATGTGCACATTTATAAATGCGAACAGGGTTATATACACACTAGCTCAAGGATACAGTTGTTAAAGTATGCATTTCATGTACGTTTTATTGGTATATCATGTACACACTTATATTGAGAGAAGACGAAAGGAAACTTTATTTGCGGTCCAAATGAACCAAGTTTAACTGTGAGTGGTAAAATGTCAGACACTTGTATGTGTATGACAACTGACAACCATGTCGCTCACACACACGCACTTGAAAGTTACCTGTTGTACAATTTTAAGTACATCAGAATAACAAAGATAGGACATGGTGCCTTCTAAAGATGTTAAATTTTAATGTCTTTGTACAGGCACTACAATTGAGCACCTTTGGGGGATTTTATTGCCTTCCCAGTGTACGAATTTTTCAATGCCTCGGTAGAGGCACTAAGTTTACTAGAACCCAAAAAGGGTGTTAACTCCTACCTTCGTGTTTCTAGAGTATCGCCCTTCACGGCGATACATCGTGCACATTGGTAAATTGAAAAGACGGAAATATTGATCCCTCGTATGCCAGTGCATATAACTCAACGTTTGACGCTACACTGAAAAATGGCGGTTTCTTGTCAAAATACCGGTCGTTACGTAATGTCCAATCTTTCACCTCTGACCCCTGCTGTATCCCCCATACTTGTTCTACTTGCTACTCTGGTACCGTTAATAAATTTAGTTCACAATACGGAACCAATATAGGACTGAGAAAATTAGTTTTTGCGGTTTATTTAGAACCCTGCTTTTCAATATTCCAAAAATCCCTTGCGCATTTGGTTTTGAGCTATGATGTTGAAAATTTGTGGAACTCTATTTTGAAGTGCCCTCAACACTTTCTATACATCATAATTACACATTTCATTTGATTTTTGTGGGCAAAAAAAAAGCCGTAATTTTCAGTATTTTTGAACTTTTAAAAAGTCCAAAATAAACCAAAATGTTAGACATCATCCAAGACATAAAATTGAAGATGTGGTCAATAGAAATTGTTTCTTAGTACTTTCCTGATATTAAAGAACCTTATGCGAAGCTTCTACGACCAAATTGAATGCGCAAGGAGAAGTTCTAGTCAGACTCTGCAAACGTTACAAAAATCTAACTACTAAACGGTTCGACCCACAGACTGCAGACACAGCTCTTTAGCGCTTTCTTGAGATACTGAACCGTGAAAATCATTCCCCTAAACCATGGCCTTTAATTTATGGTGATGTCAATTTCAGTGTAGCCTCCCCTTAAGCGTTTCAATTATTATGCACACGTGCTAATTTTTAGTTAGTGTGGAGCGCGCTTGGCGGAGCTGGCGGAAGCTCAGCCCCTGCGAAACTTGGGGTAGGCCAACCCGCAGTGCACACATGCACTACACGCAATACATAGCATACCTATCAGGCGCCCTGCTAGCTTGCGTTGGATGGACTTGGCATTTTATGAACCGCGAACGATCGACGTACTGAACGGATGCTCCTTGATACAAAATCAAGTCCACATCCTTCATACGCTTTTTAAGGGGGGTTATAACTAGAGTTGGTCATTTTGGCATTTTCTCAGAAAAAAAAAAATTGGGGGCCTTAGTTATATGACCATTACCAATGTGTGAGTGAATTTTGTTTTACTGCATCTCATTTAACAAAGAAACAACGTTAGAATGTACCTCCGGACCCATTTTCATGGTCTAGGCAGCCTGAACCTACAGAAAAGCTGTTGTGTATTTTATAAAGCTTGCGCGCAAGATTTCTCCGACAAATATTGGTTTAAAAATCTGCACTAAGGTTTTCCTAAATCAGAACCACAAGGACTAAACAATGACACAGTGGTTTTAGCAACCAATTGCGACGTCCGTCGTGGAATGATGACATGGTATCCAGATGTGACAAATGTCGAAAACTTACGAAACTAAAGAATTGTACACACACGTCACCAATATGCGAGAAGCGCATCTGATCGAATCGCATGTGCGTACAGTAAACGCCATGCAGTCTGCGAAAAGGAAGCTGCTAGAGACCTTTTGGGTCATATTTCCCTTGTAAAAAATTTATCTCATTATTCTAACCGTAGTCGTTTTGAGAACTTCTCTGTCAATCCATGTACATGAGTACATGACATGTGTGCTTTAAATAATGTGTACATACCCATGTACACATTTATAAACGTGTACATACCCATGTACACACTTATAAACGTGTACATGCCCATGTACACATCTTCTAAATGCACATGCCCATGTGCACATCTTTCAAAGTGTACATGCCCATGTACACATCTTTCAAAGTGTACATAGTAACGGTTGTATGTACACATTAAAAGATGTGTACACGAGCATGTACACATTTCTAAATGTGTACATGGGTATGTACACATTATTTAAAGCATACATGCCATGAACACATTATTTAAAGCATACATGACATGTACACATTATTTTAAGCATTCATGCCATGTACACTTTATTAAAAGTGCGCAATGTACACATTTGAATTGACAGAGTTATCGATGCGTTGTTTTTCGACAAAGCGAACAAATCACTATCCAATTTTTACGAACTGTTCATAAATTTACAAAGAACATGGTAAATTTTAGAACTTTTTGTATTCTTAAAAAACAACGAAATCATAGTAGACATTTTACTAAAGTACTGCGTTGTTAAAGAACAAATTTCTAGCAGTGATGAATGCTCAAAAATTGCGCGCGAGATTCCTCGTCCGATTGATCACTATGTTTAAACTTTTAGTGTTACACACGTACCTGCTCTCCAAGGATTAAATTGGCTCGGCATTCGGCTCGACCAAACTTGTTAGTGGCAACAACTCTATAAATTACTTCATCTTGAGGAGTTGGCTCCAAGATGGTCATTGTAGCGGTTCCAGTAACTTGGTCGTAGCTTAACCGGCGCAAACTGTCTGTTTTTACTTCGGTATCGCCTCGATACCACCTCACTATCGGTGCAGGTTCACCTTTCACAAGGCAACGTAGCGTAGCAGTTTCTCGAGGTTTTACTACTTGCGGTTTAAGAGGCTGGGAAAACTGGGGTGCGACTCCTGATTCTTCTTTCTCTGTAAAAAAAACATTTAAAAAAACAGGTTAATAGAGAGGAACAGCAACAACACACTGTAAATCCTCCACCGTATTTATAAGGTACGCATACGCATTATATCGTTAAGCCAGGCAACGAAAATAATTCAAGTTAGTTGTTGTATTAGAAATGTCAGGTTAACTTCCAAGTACCTTATACGTTAGACTATCAACTCTACAGTGCATTTAGTGTTACGTGTACAATATGACTAAATCGACTCTAATGAGATCAACGGCACACACACATACACACAGCAGGTAATCATCACTTTTATATACCTAAGATCACAAGGTTGGCTGTCGACATTGCTACTCCAGCTGGGTTTGTTGCCTTGCATGAGTATACACCAACGTGCTGGGGCAACGTTTTGACTATTTCCAGCGTGACAACGTTCTCAACAACAGTCATAGAGACAAGCTCAGATGCACGCAGTTCTTTTCCGTTGTACAACCATGTCAAATCTGGGAATGGAACACCTTCTACTTGGCATGTGAACCTACACGGACTATCAGGGGCTGCGGCCACTGGCTCTAGACGTTTAGTGAACTTCGGTGGTTTAGTTTTCTGTGGGGCGAGGATTTCGGCCGTTGAGCGCTGCACGATCGAGCGGCGCACAGCTGTGCGATCTTCACGCACTTCTTCCTCCACGACGGGCTCTTCTGGCAGCTTTTCCACACCTCGTTTAGCTGTGACTATTTCCAAGTCGCGCAATGGCGTTTCGTCTTGAATAAATTGGCCAGCGCGGCGAGTAACACGACGTGACTGAGTCTCTACTGTCATCTGTTTTTGCCATATTGGTTGCTCCTCCTTGTCTTGTATCTCTTCAGGAACCAAAGACTTTTTACTTACTGGCATCTCGCGATTAGTCAGAGTAATCACAGTTTCTGAACGCACTTCTCCTCGAACTTCTTCTGCGAGCTCTTCTCTGAGCTGTTCTGGAACAAGTTCTGGCTTATGTTCTGTAGGTTGATCTTCATCCTCCGGACGCCCAGGCACAGGTTTTGGTATTCTTATGCGTTTTCTGAGCCACGAAGGTTTTGTGTTATCTTTGGTCTCTTCAGGAAGCAGAGGGGCCTTGGGTTGAGGCTTAGGGCGTACTTCCGGTTGTTCTTCGGCTTCTTTAGGTACCTGTTCTACAGGTTTTAACTGCACTTCAGACTTTTCCTCTTCTGGCTCTCTTGGTCGTCGAGGGGCTCGTTTTATCTCAACATCTTCAGTAATTTCCTCTGGTTTGTCAACAGTAGTTCGTTCGACTGAAATTGATTTTAATTCGGACTGCTCGTTTGGTTTTCCACCAGGAGAAAGTTTAGGGATAGGTTTGAGTAGCACTTCTTCAGGCTCCGGCTCTTTCGGCTTCGGTCCTCTTTTCACGGGTTTTAAGGTAACCTGTTCTGGTTTTTGTTCTTCTTTCGGTAGAATTCGCCTCGGTTTCCTCAGTGGTTTTTCCTCTGCAACAGGAACCGGTTCTTGGGGAGTCTCCTGCGTCTGCTCTAAAAGTTCTGGAACATCTTCAAACTCTTTGATTTCTTCGGCGGGTTCTTTAATGGTGACCCGCTTCGTGGGCTTTTGTTTAACAGATTCGCTTTTATTTTCTACGATCGCAAGCTTTTCAACTGGAGTCAGGGTTTGATCGTCTGATGGTTTTCTACTCGGTTTCTTAGTAATTGGTTTTAGTTCAACGGTGTCTTTAACCTCTTCATCCTTCACATCTCGCCGGACGGGCTTTAACTGAACCACCTCTTTTTCTTCTTCTGGTTTAGGCCTTTGTTTCGGAGTACGCTTTAATTGAACCTCTTCCTGACTGAGTACTTCTTGTGGTTGGGTGACATGCCGCGCTGAAGTTGTTTGGATCTCTTGCATATCAGGTTTTGGAGCTTCATTTCTTGGAAGTTCTGGCTGAGTCTCTTCTTCAAGTGGCACTTCAGAGGGCTGTTCTATAGAAGGCTTTCGTTTCACTGGTTTAAGCTTTACTTGGTCAACGTGCGGTACACTGACGTCTGGCTGTGACGTAGGGGTATGTGGGGTGTCTTCTTTCCTTTTCCCCCATGGTTTGAGCGTTATTTCCGGCTGCTCTGCAACTTCCTTAGGTCTTTGTTTTATTGGTTTCAACTGCACTTCAGGCTTTTCCTCTTCTGGCTCTTTGGGTCGTCGAGGAGCACGCTTTATCTCGACATCATCGGCAATTTCTTTCGGTTTCTGTACCTTTGGTGCTCTTTGCCAAGAGGGACCAGGCGTTTCGGGAGTTGGTAGGTCAATCGGAGACTTACTCTCGATGGTTTTCATGTGTGTGCCAGTTTCGGGGACCAGAGGAGAACCCGTTTCTGTTTTCTCTGCATGTGAGGTTACAGGTTTTAGCTGAACTTCCTCTATCTTCTCTTGTGGAGACTCCTTCGGTTGTTTGGGCGTTCGTTTTAAAATAACACCTTCCTGCGTCCAAGGCACATCTGTGCTTTCTTCTTTGGGACGTTCTTTCCTAACTCGTGTCTTTTTTTCTTGTGGCGAGTCTGGAACTAATGGTTGAATATCCACCACCTCTGAAAACTTCTCAGGCTTTTCTACAGGGGTGTCAGACTTGCTATCTTCGGGAGCAACCTGCTTCCTGGTGGGTTTTAATTGAACCTCTTCAACCGACGCAATAGACTCATTGGTTCGCTGTTTGGGCGTTCGTTTCAGTCTGATTTCCTCTTTGTTCCATGGGACTTCTTTAGAATCCGTAGACGGAATTTGTGCGCGTGGCTTGCGATTACTTTCCTTCTCTTCTACTTCGTCTACCTTTAAAATGGTGATGTCCTCGACTTCAGATCGAGGGATTTCCACAGGTTTTTTCTTTTTACCCCTCTCCCACATCACTGGAACTTCAGATACTTTCAGTTCTTCTTCCGTCTCAGAAATAGCCAAACGCGTTGCATCTTCAACTTCGGTCATGTGTTGAATTTCACTAGGCTGATTTTCAGCTGGAATTTTGCCTCTCCTCCAGGCGACAGGCTGTTCCTCTTGTTTTGAAGCGATGTCTTCATTCTGACTTACGGTCAATTGAGTTTTATCTTCAACTTCTGAATACGGCGCTACTCTGGCTTTCGCCGATACCTTGCGATCTATATCTGCGCTTTTAATGGTTTCCACAAGCACCTCGTCTTTAACTATTGGTTTAAGCTGGACATTTTCCGGGACATTGTCTTCTGTAGGCTGACGCTGAATTGGCAGTAAGTCAACGTGCTCTATCTCTTCTTTCGGAATTTCCCTCCTTAATGGTTTTGAAGGCTTTAGGACTATTGCCTCGACAGTTTCCTTTCGCACGTCTTTGACCTCTCGCGTTGTCTTTTTAAGTTGCATGGGTTGTTGATTCCATGGTATGGCCTCTTGTGGATGTTCCGGAACAGACCGTGGTTTTATTGGTTGTTTCTCCTCATCTACGGTTTTGACCACTCCAATGAGCTGGGCATCTTCTACTTCTTGGTAAGGCTCTTTTACAGCGTCCGTTTTTTTCTTACCACGTTGCCACATAACAGCGACTTCATCGGGTTGCTTCGTTGCCAATTCTTCTCTTTTATCTAAAGAAAGCAATGTGGAATCATCAGTCTCTGTTAGCTTCTCTGTGGTATCCTTCTTCTTTCCTCTTTGCCACATAACCGGTACTTCATCAGGCTGCTTTTGTTCCGTATCTTCCCTCTTGTTAATAGACAAAATTGATGTATCGTCAGTTTCCGTCACTTTTTCAACTGTGTTTTTCCTCTTACCTCTCTGCCACATAACGGCGACTTCCTTCGATTCCTTGGAACTAGTTTCTTCTTTTTCTACCTGGAGCAGAGACGAGTCCTCCACCTCTGACACAATATGCTTCGTTTTCTTTCTTGTCCCTCTTTCCCACATTACGCCCGTTTCCTCTTTCTGTTTGCTCTGGTCTATTTCTTCGCGCTTCTCATATGTCAGGAGATTTGAGTCATCTGTCTCTGCAAAACCTAGAATAGATTGTTCGGCTCGATCAATTTCTTTTAGTGTTACTTTCTGAGGTTTTTCTTGTTCTAAAACATCTTTAGGAATTGGTTTCAGAGAAACTGTTTCAACGCTCTCTTTCATAATAGCTCGTGACTCGATTTGAACTGGCTTCAGTGACACCTCTCCAAGAGTTTCTTTAGGGATTTCGCGTTTTTCTCGAGGAGCCTTTTTCAGTTGAATTGATTCTTGAGTCCAAGGTACGACTTGTGGCTGCTTTTCTTCTTGTGGCAGTTGACGCTTGGGTTTTTTGTGCTCTACGGAGGACCCACCTAGAGTCACCTTCGACGAGTCTTCAGTCTCGACATACAATTCCTTGCTTTCCTCCTCCTTAAGCCGACGTATGGTGCGTTCAAGTTCTCTTACAGTACTATCTTCTCCGCGTGCCTGAGGCACTTCAACTATATCAGGAACTCGACCACCTCTTTTCCAGAAAAATGGAACATCGGTGTGCTCTGAGTCCTGCACATTTAACATTTCGAGAAAATCTGGTCGAGGCTTTTTCATTTCCACCACATCAACCTTGCGATCAAGTGACAAAAGGGACGCGTCCTCTGTTTCTGAAAAAGGTTGCAACGTTTGCCGATCTACATTTGTGTCTCTGGAGGGCTTAGGAATAGGCTTTAGTACTACCTGTTCCGGTTTTGGTACTTCTTTTACTATTTTCTCAGCTGGTTTTAGATCAACGTGCTCTAATTGTTCTTTCGTTATTTCCTTTCTTTCAATCTTCGAAGGTTTTAAGTGCACCTGTTCTAGAGTCTCCTTAGCGATTTCTTTGTGTTCTCTAGGGGTTCTTTTAAGTTGAATGGGTTCCTCTGTCCAGGGAATAGGACCTTTCCTGTTATCAAGAAGATCTTCCAGCGATAGATCTAAAGACATACTTGTGTCGTCCGCCTCCGAAGTTTCGTCTAATAAATCACGAGACCTAGAACGTGGACGTCTCTTATACATTTCTATCTCTTCCATATCCAATTTCAACATCGACGAGTCATCTTCCTCTGCCCATGAGCCAATTCCATCTTTTTCAACGTGTTGTAACTCAACGCGTTCTAATTCTTCGCGAGTCATTTGTCTTCTTTCAATAACTGCAGGTTTTAATTGGACCTCTTCTAATGTTTCTTTAGGGAACTCTTTTTTCGGTAACTTTGGTGCTTTTTTGAGATGGAGTGATTCGTGGGACCACGGAATGGGCTCACTCACAGATTTTATATCTGAAGCCTCCGAGCCTTCGGATAGTAAGTCTCTTGATCGTGACCTTGGTCGTTGTTTGTAGTTTTCAATTTCTTGACGATCAATCTTTAGAAGAGATGCCTCCTCTTCCTCTGTCCACGATAAAATTCCCATTTGCTCCTGTGGTACCGGTTTGAGGTCAACGTGTTCTAGTTCTGGTTTCGACAAACGTCTCTTCTCAATTTTGGCGGGTTTTAAGTGTATCTCCTCCAACTCTTCTTTTTTGAAAACTTTCCGTTTCCTCTGTGTCTTTTTAAGAACAACTGGCTCACTACTCCATGGTGCAACTTTGGGTTTCCAAAAGTCGTCGTCTAGAGACTCATCTATGGACCTGTCAAGAGAGCCATCGAGAGATCGATCAACAGAATGGTCATCGTCTTCAACCGTGCTATATTCCGGTTCAGGAACCTGCTTTGAAAGTTCCTGTTGGCAGATTGGCGATTTCCTTTCATCTCCAGGACGAGTGCGCGGGCGCGATTGGCGCTTGCTGGGTTTCAATTGGGATTCTTCTGGAGCGTCTGGTTTTCCATCGCGGGCGGGAATTGGTTTCAGTTGAATGCCTTCTTTTTCTGGAGACTTCTTTTGGGCTCGTTGGCCTGGCTTTAAGTCCACTTGCTCTAATTCTTCTCTTGGGATAGGTCTCTTCTGTATCTTTGATGGTTTCAGCTTGATGGGTCCCAGCTCCTCCTTTTCAAACGATTTCTTGGGACGTGGTGCTTTCTTAAGCTTGAGGTTTTGTTTCGTCCACGGCTGAGCTGCTTTTTCATCTGCTGCTGGCTGACTATCCAATGACCTATCGCGGCTCGCTGGAGCCCATGGGGATGGTGGCTTTCTGGGTACCTGGACGCTCGAAGAGCGAGGCCTGCGCCAGGGTAAAGTCTCTCCATTAGTACTTTCCGGTGCCAGCAAACTCTGCTCATGCGGCTTATATGCGCTCGGCGATACATGGGGAGTAACTGAAGCCACTTTGGTCGGTTGCGGCTGAATCGAAGCCGGATACGACTGAAGTGGTTGTTGGCCGCCTATCAATGGTTGCGGCTGAATAGCACCTGGACGCGACTGAAGAGGTTGTTGAATGCTATCTGCCCGCGAAAAGGTCGATGGCATGGTCTGCTCCAGAGGGGTCACAAACGGTAGCTGTGCTCCAAAAGGAGTTGGCATTTGGCCCATTTGAGGCGTAGACTGAGGCCCTATAAAGCCGGGCTGTGATACCTGTTGCGGTGTGGCAAAGCCTGGCCTCGGCAGGTTCTTGTGGGGGATAAACGTTCTTGCGTACGCAACTTGAGGTCCCTGAGCATCCTGCTCATAGACACCTGGCTGCGGAGGAACAAACTGTTGAGGCAATCCCGGTTGTTGCTGGGGCATCATAAAGCGCTGCTGCGGCGCCACAAAACCTTGCTGAGGCAGTCGGGGCGGAAAGCCCTGCTGTGGGGTGAAGAACGGCTGAGGCCCTGCCCATCCCGTCAACTGCTGAAAGCCCTGCTGGGGGCCTCCTGGTTGAGGTGCCTGTGGTCCACCTGAACCATCGAAAGCACCCGGAGCGCCCGGCCCTTGCTGCGATCCACCGGGGAAGCCTTTGGTTGGCGCCGCACCCGGCGCCTGCTGCTCGTGGATGGGCACACTGTGTGCAAGTCCCGGGCGTCCTGTGGAAAACCCACCACCGCAATAAGATAACCACAGCAAAGATATAGCATGCACAAGTAAAGGTTAGAGTCAAGCAAAAGGATAAGACAGATTGGTCGCTAGGGTGGTTGAAAAGCACAAGGAGATTTGCAAGGTATCATTTACACTTTGAGGAGTGGAAAAATGAGAACCCATATATTTACGAGCAAATGTAAAGACGTCGAGACGTCGCACCTTACTAGGAGTCCTAGCGGGACCGTGACTCTACTGCCTTTTGAAGTGCACTAAAGCACTATAAAGGAGCGAAATTTTAATGCTTTTCTATGTATGCGTTTTAATGCCTTTCTATTGGCAATAATGATTTAATTCCTTCCCAAAGCTCTTCTTAATATTGTAATTCCCTTCTATTCAGATCTCAATAGATAAATGTTTTAACGCTTTCTTTTAGGGACATTGACGTTTTCGCGCATTTTAAACTTTCGAACGCACGATATCCGAGGTTTATTCACCCAAAAAAGCAGGAAGTTCATCGCAGCACAGCGCATCAGACCGCCTGCCATCGAGCGGGTATGCAACCCGGATGCACACGCGCCTTGCGGGCAAGTATGCCTTTCGTCGTCAGGCGCTAACACCAAACCAAGGATATCATTATCATTTCGTTGTGTTTTTATTTTCGATGACAGTGTGAGGCACTCATCAGTCACGCTGGTATAACGCAAGACGAGAGGTATGACTATATCCTGTGAACCCTCTTTGCTACGGGCCGTAAACTTCTTTCGTGCGAAGGAAGGCGAAGTGAGCGCGTAAAGGGGCGGGCCCGACGGATATCCCGACAGAGCGAGCATTGCAGAAAAACCCCATTTCCGTGCGTTTGATCTCGGACCGGAAACAGGGCATCGCGACGCGGCGCAGCGGCGGGAGATTCAAAAATAATTCCTGCGGGAGGGAGCTCGACGGGAAGCGTAGACAAAAGGGAGAATTAGCGTTAAGAGAGGAGAAAGGTGGGAGAGGATAGGTAGAGGAGGATAGGTAGAAGAGGATATGAGAGGGAGAGGGAGGGAGAGGGAG